ATGGTGTGGGTTAACATGACTACTTAGTTAAAGTTAGGGGACCTTTGGTTTCCATTGTTACAGTAATATACACGTGGTTTGGGAACAGTTGTGGTCCTTTTTAAATCAAGCCAATGTCTGTGTTACTGTGTAACTGTGTAACTCTGACTTTTTGTTGAGCATGCATTCGGCAAACTTTCTCCCTCTGTAGAATCTATCTGTAATAACATCTCACTATTTACTCCTTCATTCCCAACTAGAGTAAGAGATAATTACTGTGTCCACAAGAGGGCTTTGTCACGTGTGTATGTAAACATGTCATTTTGGGGACTTGCTGAAATGAATGATGTGTTTTTTTTTTTTTTTTTTTGTCTTGGGAGAACCATCTCTCTTTCTTCTGCTTGTCAGTTTTTAAACTCATGAATATTCAACCATGATCATTCATAACTCTAACCAAGTGCTTTGAGTTTGCCGAAAAACCATAAAAATGTAAATTGTTTTAATTGGTTATTTAAGTAAAAACTGAGACAAAAACAAATGTAATACATTTCTCCCAAAACTTTTCCTGCTGCAGATATGTATGTAATCCTGTGCATAAAGAAACAGAGTTGAGGATTTGCATCAAAGAGGAAGCAGAGTCAGTGTCCTCTGAACTGATTGGGGACTGAGGCGAGGACTTAAATACATTTATTGCAGCATACTGCAGTGTCACTGTAAATTAATGAATGTACTAACCTAGAAAATTATAGTGGTGATCCATAAGAAGATATATGTATGGTTTTCTGATTGGCTGACTGTTTTCTGAGTAATCCAATAAAAAATATATACAAAGTTCCAGAAGTCCTGACAGCTGGTTTTAAGGCTCAGTTTTTGAATACAGGCTGTGTGAATTTCTCTGTGGACTGAGGCCTTGATACTTTCACAGTATTAATACAGAACCTAGACCTGCTTTATAATCAAACAACTTATGGTCATCTACCTTTAGACTATATGGACCTTTAATGAAACGGGTTGATTGAAAACTGAGACTGAGTAAAAAGTAAATAATTACAATAAAGGTTAAATAAAGATTTAATTATAGTATACTTATCACCATGAGATCGAGTAAATATATGACCTATAATGCCAAACTCTTACTCCATCATTTTCCAGCGCTACCTCAACTCAACCTTACTCTGAAATGTCCTATGAAATGTGGTCTGTCTATATCAGGAGGTTTGGGGGCCTTGGTGGTAATGTATTTATGTAATGTATATTAACTATGGCAACTTGGTTTAATGAATCTGTGACCCTAAAAATCAAATGAAATATTTTCTTTCTAAATACTGCTGTTCATGTGTTTAATTAGCAGAACACTTGGCTGCAGTATTGAGTTGAATCAGAAACAAAAGAAATCCATTTTGCTGGTGAAATATCCATGCTCTCTGTCTCTCCTTGATCCTCCCTCCCATCTCCCCATCTCTCTGTACTTGGAAAAAGAAGGGTATGTCACAGAGGAGCACGTTATAGGATATTATGTGTGCTTTTTGTAACTCAGTAAAGCTTTAGTTTGAAGTGTGAGCCTGTACTTTAGTGTGTAGTTTTGGATGTGTGTGCATGTTATCTTGTGTGCATGATCTCATGTGTGGGAGTGTGTGTGTGTTTGAGGTTGCATCTGTGTGCCTGTGTGTACTTGTTGATACTATATGTGTTTTTGTGTCCAAATGTATGTGACTGTTGATGTGTGTGTAATATTGTGTATGCACAAAATTCCATGTGACTGTGTGCACCAGTACTTTTTGCTCGTGTGTGTGTGTGTGTGTGTGTGTGTGTGTTTGCATGTGCGCGTGTGCTGCAGAGCCCTGAGAACTTGGCAGCGTGTCAGCGGAGTGCTCCAGCAGTGAGGGGGAGCTGCTGTGTTTCTCTGCCCTGTGCTGGATCCCCTTTCAGCCTGACACAATCCCACAATCCCACAGCTCTGAGCTCTCAGCTGCAGCCTCCACAGCACCAGCACTAACCCACCATGCTCTCATACCCACCCAGATCACTATTTCAGCAAACCAGGAACTGGCCACTGTCAGCATCTGCAGTGGTGCTGCACACTCAACTGAGCTGTACTTTACTTTGGTGGAAGGGAGTCTCTGTTTGTTACAGCAACACCATATTCACATGTCATGGTTGCCAGATCCTGTTAATCAGAGACACTACTCCTGTCCACAATAACTCACCAACTTTAGTTGAGTTCATATGATATAATTTCCACCTAGTGGTATCTACCATGCAAATAGTTTAGGATGAGAAATCTTTCCCTGAGATTTAAATCGTCATCCTAGGACAGTGAACGCAGAATTGAGGATTTAATTTCTGGTGATTACAGCATTGAGAATTTAGAAAATCAACAACATCTCTCTGCAGAAATAAATCGGCCCTTTACTCCATATGCTTTTAATCTACTTTTTCTTCTTCTTCTTGGATCTTCTTGGAATTATAACTGAGAGAAATTTTATGATGACTGAACTGACTGACCAACCACTCAGCATTACCATGTTGAAACCCCAATCAACAGCAAAAATCACTTACTCAGTTCCAAAGTAATTATTATTATTATTCATCACCGAAATACACCGATCACCTGGTGTAACCACAGTCTGTCAGTGGGGATTGACTCACTGTTGGAGCCAGACTCTAGTGGTCATTACTGGAACTGCAGTTTTGGTACCTCACTGCTAACTTCATGTGTCAGCCTTGAAGGTTGATGCTTGGATGCAACCTTGTGTGTGTGCAGACTGGGTAACCCAGTGTCTCTAGGAATCATGTTCATATTGAATGAATCTGCATCTTACATTTTACACTTAACAACAATTTTCATTGCCAATGTAGGAAGTAGTGTGTCCTTCATGTGGAGAAGTTGGGCTGTGGAAGTTTAGGGTGGTGATGGCCAAATAAAGACATCGATGATGGAGTATTCTGCAAAATCATGAAATATACTGTATGACAATTTTTTTTTTTTGCGTATGGCAGCTATTGTGAAGGCAATGGAAAGAGTTGGAAAAAGTTGGACCTCACTCATCTATCTGCCATCCTGACCTCCACCACTCTGACTCTCTGCTTGGCTTCATAAAGGACACACTATTCGGCAAAGGCATCCAATTGTTCTACAAAATTGAAGAATATTGTGTGTCATTTGATTTATAGCTTTACTGTGAGGTCAGTGCCCACCCCAACCACCCCCCGCCCACCATCAACTGCAGCAGCAACTATCCCAGATGGACCTTCACAAGATGGGTATTGATTGATTCTTCTCAGAGTGGTGGTGATAATGTGACAAACAGCAGTCATTTCCCACTGAAACATCACTTTGGTCCACTAGTGAAGCCTTTATCACAAGGAGTATCAGAGGCTTCCTGGAAGCTCTCTTCCGGCACTGGGGACCTGTCAGAGCGATGAGCCAGTGGATCAAATGACACTGTGGCAACTGTCTTAATGACTTTGTGTCATGGCTGCAGGATTGGTAACAGTGGCAAACAGTATTGGAAGAGACTGTGATTTACAATGTGGCCTTCAGTTTCATAGAAAGTGATGATTCAAATGAGTCAAAAACTAAACCACTCAGTTGTTCATGAGGACCTTCACTCAATTATGCATATGTAACTTTTCCACATTAAAATGTCTAAAGACAACTAGACCTATGTTCTATATGTTGTTGAGTTGTGTTCTTACATTATCCCACAATTCTCAAACCAGAGAAATCTGTGATTTTAATCATGGTAGCATTTCATTGTTTGCCTGTCAATGACATCATGTTGTGTTTGTCTGATGGAAGCTCAACATTGACTTTTATCTAGATTAAAGCCACATACACTTTTTACACCTTGGTGGTTTTCAGCTCTATATTTGAACCAAATGAAGGATTTTAGTCGTCGGACGTCTGGATCTAAAGTTATAAGAGAAACAAGCTGAGGAAATGTTAGACAGCTCAGCTCCCAGCTGCTGGAGATGTCCTGTCCTGTGTCACTGAAGAGTATTGGTGAATTGCTGATTTTTAAAGTTAAACTGCTTTATGGGTATTTCTACTGATTTTAATAGATAGATACTTTATAATCCCCTGGTCCGTTTGTTATGGAAAGGAGGACACCTTTATGGCAACCAGTCCTCCAATCTAAACAACCATATAGGTTGTTTTTTTCAACCCTCTGATTTGACCCATAGCCGTGTCTCCTCAAATTGCAACCTTGGTTGTCAGTTACCATAATGTCTGTGAATGTTCTCATTCGTCCAGGTCATAGTTATCTCTCTCTCAAATTGAATCGAAGGCAACTGGACTTGTATTTGTCTGTGGAAGACGTTTCGCCTCTTATCCAAGCGGCTTCATCAGTTCATCATGTATTGGTCTCTCTAGTCCGCACTAGTCTGACGTCAGACTAGTGATGAACTGATGAAGCCGCTTGGATAAGAGGAGAAACGTCTTCCACAGACAAATACAAGTCCAGTTGCCTTTGATTCAATTTGAGAGAGAGACAGTTACCATAATAAACATGCGACTGTACTGAGAGCGGCGTAACGATCATCGCCATGGTTTCTATAATAACAGTCATGGCTTGGTTAGGTATAGGAAAAGATGGTGATTTGGGTTAAAATAAGTACTTCCTCCACATTAGATGGTCTTTGTTGTCATGGTTACAATAATAGCAAAGTGGTTTATTTTGTTGTGTTATCGGCCATGGATAATAGAAACAACACAAACTTTCACATGGGAATTGGACACCACTCTCCTGTATCATATTGAGCCATCCACCACAACCTCCTGACCGGACTTTTAAATTTGTGGCTATTGCCTGCTTTGACAGCTGCTAGCTAGCCTAGTTGGTTTGTTTTTAGCCTGTCGGCTAAGCTAGCCAGTCTTTTACTTGTACATGTGGCTCCACTCACCTCACCATCAAACTTCTTCAACTGCAAACGGCTCTAGGAATCTAGATCCTAGGAATCTAGGATCTCCAGGAGAGGATTTTCACTTTGTAGCATATCCGAGAGGGAGAAGTCACATGGAGTCGCTGGTGACATTTGGCCCAGCGCTGGCTGCCGGTAGTGGAGACCTGGATGCCACCGTCCCCTGCTATGGCGTGGCTCAGACACAGCGAGATGATCCATGGCATCACCTGGGTGCCAGGCCTAAACCCTCCGCCATCTTCCACCACCAGAGCCTCAGGTGGGAGTAAAACCAAAGTATGCTCCACGCCATCCTGGAGCTAGCCCTGGATTACCATTGGCAAGGGTGGCCTGCACCCGTTTAATCTCCCTCCACCACCTTGTCATCTTCAATTGGTGAACAGATTCAGCAAACCGGATCAATAGGAGTTTCCCCCACGGGATGACCATCTTCACCCTCCATCCTCGCTGCTCCCATCTATCCCATCTATCATCTGGATCTGATGCTGAAATCAACTCATATGTCTCATACGTCAAATCAATCCACCCAAGGATGACTTATTGATGTGCACAGCATACATATCAACTCAAACAAGCCCCCTGTATTAAATAGCGCTGCCATAGCCGTCAGGGTTACTTTAAGAACAAATTGGCAACATTCAATGCAGTCTGTTGTGACATCAAATCTAAAAACAAGTACCCCTCAATCTACTGTCTCCTCTCCACCTCACCCTGAAACCTCTATCTACCTAGACAGTCCTCATACTTTTAAATCTAGGAAAGGTTTAGGATTTATTCATTTGAACATGAGAAGTTTGTGTCAACAAGAAAAAATAGATCATTTAAACATTTTGGTCACAGGCAGACCCTGATATTCTGGTTGTCACAGAAATCTGTCTTAAAAAGAACATACATGTGATGTGTCAATAAATGGTTAAAGTATATATAGAATAGACAGGATTGGTAGAGGTGGGGATGTTACTATATATGTCAAAAACTATATTAATGTATCTATCCTGTATGATATTCCTGTGCCTAAATACCTTGAATTTATTGCCCTGAAAGTTGAATGTGGATACAACAATTCCATTGTGGTGGTTCGGATCTACAGGCCTCCTTCAGCTGACTCCTGCACCACAGCTAAACTGGAGGACTTATGCTCTCAATATCTTCACTCAGAAATGATAGTCCTAGGTGACTCTAGATTGGTTATATAATGCTTATGGACATCTTAAGGAATTGTGCAGTGATTTGAACATTTGATCACTGAGCCTACCAGGCCCAATCCAAAAAAACATTACAGATCCACAGTGACAGATCTTATCTTAACCAATAGAATTAATAAAACTGGTGTTTTTGATCTCAGAATGAGATCAGTGCCCAGTTACTTGTATTAGGGATACACATTTGAAGAAAACATAATCTAGAATTTTTGTCAAAAGAGATCTAAGAATCTTTAATGAATAAGTGTTGTTAATTGACCTTTATCATAGTGGAAAGTCCTTGCAATTGTGGACAAACATGCAGCTTTTAAAAAGCTCAGAATAAATGATAGGTCAAATCCTTGGTTCTCCTCTGAACTTTCAATTCTGTTTAAAGCAAGAAACAAAGCATGGTCTCTTACTAGATGCTCAGGGATCCCATACCTGTCATGGGTTGCCATGATGGACATTTATGTTTGAGTTTTTGTGTTATTTGCACTTTGAGTTTGGTCATTTCCTGTTTTATTTTTGTACTTTCCCTGTGTCTCTTGATGTTTTTACTTCCTGTCTTTGTCCTGTTTCCCTCCTTGTTGATTGTCTGTGTTTCACCTGCGTTCAATTACCCTTGCCTCCCTTGTGTCTATTTAGAGTCTGTACTTCCCTTTGTCTGGGTCAGTTCATCTGTTCATGTCCCCAGTGTTACCTGCTCGTGTTCCCCGTGTGTCTGATTCCTGTTGAAGTTCTCTGTGTTTCCTTGTGCTTCTGGTATCTGTTCCTGTCCATCTGTTACTCTCCATTTTGTTTTTTTAGTTCTGTAAGTAAGTCACTTTTTGTTATTAAAAGACCTTTTTCCACCAACTCCCATTTTCGTTGTCTGCATTTGGGTTCAGTTTTTCCCTGCCGTGACAATCCCATTGGCTTGTCTTTAGGCAACTGAGAAACAAATGTACAGTCACTGTAAGGAAAGCCAAATGAAATTATTAGTTAGAATTAATTCATTGATCATATTCAAATCTGCCAAAATTCTGGAAGGTAGGAAAGTCTATGGAAAATAAAAGCACCAATTCTTTACCTGCACATATCAGTCCAATAATTGATGAGATCTGCCTTGCCTTTAATAAGCATTTTACTGCCATTGGTCAGTCATTTGATATGTATAGAGAGGTCAACAATAGTGCTTGTATATACACTGTAAACCCCGCCTTTTCATTTATTGATGTAGCTAATGCATTATAAATCATTGATCCCAGGAAATCCAAAAACTTCACCACTGCACATGTTTGAGCGATACTGTTACATAATTGTTAGGTCAGTATTTATGCACAAATCCTCTCTAAACCACATACACACTGTTCTATGATTGTCTTTACAGACATGGTACATATGTATTGTGAGGCAGTGGTGTGCAGTGACTTTTACAGATAGGGAAGCAGCCAAACCACCAACTACACCATCTGCAAAAAAACCAAACAAAAACACCAGCAGATCAGGCTTTACTGTAACAACAAAGCTAACACTAGCTGAGCTAGCCATGCTATGAAAAAATAATTTCTGGCATCCAACCTACTCCTGCTTTTTGGTTGACTGTCCCTCAGTATTACAACATTAGTCCAACATTGCCCCAGTCTATGGATACAACTGATTAATTAGCCACATTAGCCGTGCTAAGCAACAGAACAATTTGCATGCTCTCTTCTTGCCTTCGATATCTTCATTTAACCAAACCACCATCTTTACCTGACCTTAACCAAAGAGCTTTTGCTGCTGAAACCATTGACAGGATTCAGGATGTGAACCCTGGTCACAGTCCTACACTTTGGACCCCTGCCCCCAAGGGGGGCTTTAATTAACGATGCACTAACGACGCATGAGTGACATATGAGTGATGTAGCTGCACATTCCCGCCAAAAACTGGAAAACTTTTGTGCTGGTAAGACTTGTTGTGATGCTCTTTCCCTTTGTTAAGCTAGCATGTTTAAAACTAATTTCTTTTGGTTTAAACTGTGAGTATGTGTGACTATAGATCATTGTTTATGTGGTTCTGAGTTTTACAGTTTTGCTGGTAAAAAACTCCTTGCATTCCTTCTGACTCGCTGCAGGGGACAGAGAGTGAGAAGCCTGCCACTGTGTGTGTATGTTGACTTTGCCCCTTGCTGCTCTTTTAGGTGTGTTATAATGTTTGATTGTTATTTGCAATGATCTTGTTTATTAATATTGTTGTGTACTACTGTAGGATTGCATTGAATGAGTAGCCTAATAATATGGAACAAGCTTTTAATTTAATGTGAACTTTATTTTTTTATGTGATGCCCATATTTGTATATAAATTGGAGATTGAGGATTCTGCTGAAGACATTTAATTTTGTTTACGTGAATATTTATTTGGTCATTTTCACTTTTTCTGCTGTGAAGGCATGCATTCTTTTGGTGTGCACATTTTATTTATTTCTATTACACATTTGTATGAATTTTAATGTACTTAAATACAAAAAAATAAATTTATTTTTTAAATTTTCTGTTGATTTTTCTGTTGAAATGTGATTGTGGTGATGGTTTGTTTCTTTGCTCACATAGGACTGTGACTTATTATTTTCATGATGGATTCATCTTTTATGGTTGTTTGTTTGTTTGTTTGTTTGTTTTTTGGTGATGTGAGATTTTGATGAGTTGGAAAATAGTGAAAAATGACAATTAGAATTTCCAAGAAACCAGTATGCCAACAACAGTGTCACAGACAGTAGTAACCACCCATCTCTGTCAATTATTCTTATCAAAAGTGAAACAAAGATACTGGAGCATCATTTCTTGTATCAGGAGAATATTTCCAGAAAACAGACACATAATGTTACCTATTCAAACAGCCAACAAGTCAACGCAAAAGAAGGATTTAGAAATATGTCAAAGCCTCATATCACATCCCATCTCATTGAATATAATGTTCAGGGGAGCCACCCTGCTGCAGACACAGACAGTGCCACATCAGCACTGTGTGTGTGTGTCTCTGCATGTGTGTGCATGCACCACTCATCTGTGTGTGTTCATCTGTGTGTGTGTCTATGTGCTCTAAATGCTGATTGATGTATCTCTGGCTTTGTCAGCCCTTTGGCATAGGTGGAACAGGTGTGACTCTGCCACAGAGTGCGGCTCAGACAAGCCATATCACAGCACAATGAGGTCATTGTGCAACACACACATTCCTGCACAGGGCCCTCGGACTTTTACAGGCTGGAGGTAGCCATCTGTGTGTGTGTGTGTGTGTGTGTGTGTGTGTGTGTGTGTGTGTGTGTGTGTGTGTGTGTGTGTGTGTGTGTATGGCTCCAGGTGAGGGGGATTTGGATGAGATTTGCTCTATGAAAGAGATGTGTGCTCACCAGCTGCGTGTCCCTACACACTCTCAGAAACACCTCCAAGGCTCAGACACACACACAAAGACACACGGGCCAAGTGACGATTCTCCAGTGTTGCAAAATCAGCGTCTTGTGAGAGAGAGTGGGCGTTAGGTTAAGTGGGACTGGCTGGATTTTTCCAACATTGTCACTCTTGTCTGAGACACAGTCAAGGCTGCACTGGTTTGTGTGGACCCTAGGGTCCATTAGTACAATATGGATGTTACTACAGTGATGAAGTCATCTGGTCTGACTCAGGCAGCTCATTCAGTGGCATCTGTGTTTGTTTGTATCCTGGCNTGTGTGGGTGAGGGTGTGTGTCTGTGTGTGTGTGAGTGTGTGTGTGTGTGTGTGTGTGTGTGTGTGTGTGTGTGTGTGTGTGTGTGTGTGTGTATGGCTCCAGGTGAGGGGGATTTGGATGAGATTTGCTCTATGAAAGAGATGTGTGCTCACCAGCTGCGTGTCCCTACACACTCTCAGAAACACCTCCAAGGCTCAGACACACACACAAAGACACACGGGCCAAGTGACGATTCTCCAGTGTTGCAAAATCAGCGTCTTGTGAGAGAGAGTGGGCGTTAGGTTAAGTGGGACTGGCTGGATTTTTCCAACATTGTCACTCTTGTCTGAGACACAGTCAAGGCTGCACTGGTTTGTGTGGACCCTAGGGTCCATTAGTACAATATGGATGT